CTCTCTCTCTCTCTCTCTCTCTCTCTCTCTCTCTCTCTCTCTCTCTCTCGTTTATCTCTCCTCAGCCTCAACATCAGTCACTTCAACTTGGTTAGGAAGCTGCGCTAATGTGAGGCACGCGCGCGCATGATGACGAACACGTGCATGTGCAGCCGTGCGGAGAATCCCGATATGACAAGCGATCTATCAAAATTCGAGAAACACATTTTCAGTATCACATTTTGAATTTTGCAATCAACCGTACTGAGGATTCGAATATTGTTAAGAAATATATGTTTATGAAACAAATGTTGGATTTGAACGCACGCTTGAGCCCAATCACCTCAACTGCATACGAGAGGGTAGCTATGTCCCGACTTGACGAGTGACTATTGGATGCCGACGAAAATAGCGATGCGACAGCGTCACACCTATGGATACAACGAGCGTCGGCATCGTCTAGAGGAGAGAGAAAGAGGTGGAAAGAGAGAGAGAGAGAGAGAGAGAGAGAGAGAGAGAGAGAGAGAGAGAAACAGGGAAAGCGAAAGCGAGGAGGCACCGACTTTCCTGGAGGAAGTTCTATTTTCAGTTTGAATCTAAACATCTATTGTCTACGCGATCAAAAATTCCTATCCGACTTGTAAAATTGCTTACTTATTAAGCAGAGATTTTCTGATTTAGATAGCCGAAAAATAGAAGATTTTAAGCACTTAAAAAATGGCCTTACAGTCGTAGCGCAAATTATCTTGATACGACAGATTAACTGAAATGAATATATGACTAGCAAACACTACGATACCGCACGTGTTTTGTACATAATTTCTATCATAATTTCTATATTATTAAAATGCTGCTGCTGTAAATTGTACGTACCACAGACAATTTTTTAACTGATATAAATAACAGCAATAAATTTTAATTGTTGTTTAAACTGTTTAGAACTCTACCTGACCAGCAAAATATATTTTTTTGAGTGACAAATTTCCTTCAAAAAAATTAATAAAGATATCAATGTAAGGTTCTAACTATATTATTTATATATCATTGTTTTGAATATAAAAATTATTTTTTAAAAATTAAAATTTCGTTCAGATTTTTTGTGCTGTGTCACTAGACGCCTCTGACTGGAGTTTAACATTACAACTCATATGACAATCTCAGACAAATGGGGTAAGAAAATTTAAGAACTGTATTAAATTTACTGAAATGTATGAACCTAAATCCTTTATAAAGTACCCAAACTTAGTATTTTTCGCACTAAATAAAAAAGAAAGGAAGAAAAAGTCTTGTACTTTAAAGTGCCACTATTTTATTAAATTCCGACTTTCAGTAAAAAAAATTCAGTAAATTTAATAAGTTTTTATATCTTCTTATTCAATTTATTTCAAATTATTACGTGAGCTATAATGGTTTTTACTAGTTAAAGATGTTCGGCTTAATACAAAAAACTTGGACGACGAAATCAATTCTTTTTTTTAATACAAAACAATATTTTATACTTGGGACAATGGTAAATAATCAAAATCCTATGTTGAAATCTTTATTCATTTCTTAAAAAAAAAGTCGTAAAAACGACTCCTATTTTTTAACCATCTAAACCAAAACTTCCTTTTAAAGAATTAAAAGATTGCGTTAAATTCTGTTGTACATAGAACGCGATACAATTACCTATTTATACTTATAATATTAGAATTACCATTGTCTTCAATCATCATATGCCATGATAGATAACTGTAGTTATGAAATATTAAGGAGATGCCAAAGTGAATAATAAACTCCTACTATCGACTCTTATCGATAATGTAGAGACGGTCGTCAAAATATATCATGTAAATATTAATACAACCGTGCTACTCTTTTCTTATTTCTTATATATATAAATCTCATATAAATGTATTAGTTTCTTTTATCATATTTAATGACATCAACCACATATTTAATGGCATCAACCACATATAGAAATCGTTCTGCGATTTCCATATATTTTATAGCTTTTAAATTCAGTTATAAAAAAAATACAATGTATTCTTTGAAGTTTTCCTAAGCAAAGCAAACATATGTTTGATATGTACCAACTGCAGAACTTTAGTAATTTACGCAAACTAATAGCTGGAGGTGTCAATTTTGAAATGCGCTTTATCGTTTTCATCACATATTAAACAACGTTCCACATCATTTTTTACGTGCTTTAGTTGTATTAAGAAAGCATTCTTAATTTTGTGTAATCAATGAAATGTAAAATGTAAAATTTGCAAAAAACGTATTGTATTTGTATTTTATCGATAAAATTCTCAAAGTATGATATTCCTTTAAGATAATATATACTGATTAATGTCAGTGACAAAAAAAAGGTAGCAACAATTTTTTCAGTGAGTTTTATAACATATCTACATGCAATAAAAAAATTTGTTTTTAGTAATTCTCAGAAGATAAATTGTCCTATTGAATGCCAGGCACATTTTAAAGTTCGTCGAGATAAAAAGTGTTACAATTTTTTCTTTCTCTGTTTATACAAAAATAAAAGGCTAAAAATCGAAAATTGAAAAAAAATATTCTATTACTTGTACGGTGAGTTATCAATGCATGAATGATTTATTTGACGTTCGGATTTTGATCGAATGTGACAAAGAAGCATTGTACATGTGCGATTAGCAAGATAAATTTGACATCGTAACTCAAACCATGTAGAAAACATCATTCGTAATCGTCAACGTGTGCGAAAAATGGCAACGATCTTGTTATGTACCGTAGATGTGTGAGTAACGAGTAAATACGCGCGTACGTCAGCTTATAATTACATCTGCTTCCTGGACAAAGCCGATTTCCTCGAGAAATCATCCCTCAAGAACGTATCCCATAAGCTTAGATTGTTCGAATCGCGCGCTAATGTAAGTAATCGAGTATTCGAGAAATCAATTGATCAATCGTTGCATGCGGGCATATAACATATTATTAGTATAATAATTAGTTTAAGTAAAAGTACAACTATGTTAGTTATTACATTAATTAGAGAAAACTATAAAAGAAGCCGTGTGTCGTGTATCGCGTTTTTGTCATCGTTGTTTCTCACGAGCTCCTTGCAAACTCTAAATCGATATTTCTTTCAATAATTTCTATCCGCTTAAATGTTGCAGTTCTGACATATCTTTATATACAAAGAAAAATATTGCAGCAAAAATTACAACAAAATTTTATTAATATTTGTACCATACAAAAAAATTATGACTGAAATTATTATATATTTGTTTAAAAATGTTATGTACGTTTAACCTTTTTAACTACAAAATTATTGTGATTGCTTCAATGTTTTTTATATCGTATGTTTGGTAGATCATTAAATTTTTGTTATTTCTGTAGTAATTTATATTACAATATCAGTATACTTGAACTTTACTAAAAGCATTGTAAAGTGAAATATAATGTCAACGTAATTTTAACTATAATATCTTCTCCGTGTTTGAATTCCCGACTTCAAATACTGTTAAAGAAACTCGCGTCTTAAATTGTCCGGAAAACAAAAGTTTTGATTGTCTATACTTTTAAGCTTGAAGTTTAATTGTGGAAAACTTGGAGATCTTCAATGTGATTACACCTATATGCGACTACGAGAGAAACTGAAGTCGCATGAAAGCTCACCGGTGCGTCTCAGCCTCGAAATAGCAGCGGCGTCGGGCCGTCGACTCCTCTCGGGATTCTCACGTTCCGCGCCTATACGACGGCACTTTCTTCCTTTCTTCCTCTTCGATTTCTTCAGGACGCACAATTATCTTGGACCGGACAAAAGGGAAATTCGTCATGAATAGAACGAACGGAAAGTGGTCAAATGCGCGAGTGTGAGAATCGAAGAGGGAAACTTGAGGTGTGCTCGGAGCTGCTCGCCTTCACGTCAAAGACACTTTGGACATATAATATAATACGAATAAATAAATAGAAAAATAAATATGCAGAAACCGTCCAAGTAAATGAGTGAAGTTTGGCGAATAGGTCGCGCGAGCCACCTTGTTCCCTCCGACGAACAACTCCCGAGCGAGTCAGCGCGCTACGACCGACTGAATCGCGCTGCACTGACTCGCTCTCGAGGTACGAGAAAGCTTGGCATGAGCTTTTCTCCCTTGTGCCTCATCCCACCAGGCCTCCCTTTTTACGCTCCGGGACGGAGGGCGTTCGTACACTTCTATTTTGTCACGCCACTGTTCTGAAGCGTAAAAGTCGTGTCGAAAAAGGCAACGAGTGATTTTAATGGACCAACGTTCGTCGAAATTCCTTTATAAGCTATTATTTTTATTTTGATCACGAATGTACCGCCTTATTCTGTGACATATATATCATACTCTTGAAATTTTACTCGAAACGATATACAGGGTGTCTCAGATTCTCCTCTACAATTTTTGTAGGAACGTAGAACGGATTGAGATGAATATAAAAGTTCCATATCGTTTTGCGATATTCGTAATAAATATTCTCGAAATATTAATTAAAGAAGATTGAATGATCACACGCGATATAGTAGAGCTATAGTGGCGTCATCTACAACTGTGTATATATATATATATATATATATATATATATATATATATATATTAGGTCAAATTAAACAAAAAAGTTCTCTACCATTTTGCAAATGATTTGATAAATTTTTAAATATTAATTAAAGAAGATTTGTGCATTATCGCGCACAATCATGTAACAATTTTCCTTTGTTAATAACTAAAAATGTGGTTATTTGCAAAATGATAAAAGACTCTTTTGTTCAATTTGACCTAATGTATACAAGCATACAACAGCACACATCGCCACTACAGCTCACCTACCATATCACATGTGATCATTTACTAATTTTCTTTAATCAATTATTTTCGACTATTATTGCAAATATCGCAAAATGATATAGGATTTTTCACTTCAATTCACAGATTGTTCACTTCAATCCGTCCCCACAAAAATTGCGGAGGAGAATCTGAGACACTTTATATGTGGAAATACTACCACGCGAAATCGTAAGACTAAATGTTTCACTATAATTTATTCTGACTTCATATAAATGCATATTTCAATTTATTAGAATGAATTTGTTCTTCTATGTGTATGTGTGTATATGTATGTATGGGTGACACGATGAAACATATCAGATTCAATTTACTTTCAAGTGATTTCAAGTGAAAATATTCACTCGACGATTCAGAGTGTGAAAACCGCTATATGAGCAAAAAATTACTTAAATTTAAATATCTCAGCTATTATACTACATTTTGGGGCCAAAATTTTACACTACGATTTTAAACAGAGCACAAAATTATATATGGGAAGTATTCAATCTATCTAACTAACCAAATCGCGCGAATCGTGCAACAAATTGATTTGTCGATTTTGTGGTCTCTAAATTTCTCTGAGTAAAATTAGAGTGGTCACCGAGTCACTTTGAATGATGTTTCATTCATATGGAATAAATTCTCTATTCTGAATTAAAGAGTGAATATTTTTCTTCAAAATTGAAAAATAAATTTGATATATGTTTAGTTGCAAGACGATTAGAGACACGACAAGATTGGGATCTCACCAAACTGTTAAAATTGATTCATTATCGTGACGAGTTTTTATGCAGTAATTATATAACATTATTATTAATTATATTATAACTATACTTAAGTCCGTCAATAATGACTCTCAACTTTGACACTTTTGGCAAGGTTCCAATTTTGTAATGTCTAAATCGTTCTGTAACCGACTTACGAAACATATTTACTCTAATCGAATGGCACATTCGCTCATATGGAATCAAAATCCACCCTAAACTTGAATAAAACATTCACTCTGATAATTTCAAGTGGCAGTATTTTTACTATCATTTCAAATAGGAGTATTATCATTTTTCATTTGTTTTAAGTGAAATTCCCCTCCAAGAAATTTAGAGAGTGAATGAGAACTATGCGTTTTCTTACAATCTTGATCGCTCATATTTCTATATAAACGCGATACTTCGTAAAACTATTTCCCCATACACGATATCTTGGTGCCTTTGATTATTCTCTTCGATTCGTTTCAGCATAAAAGATTCTGCGATGTCTGTTATCGCTTCTCCGTAGTTCCCCCCTCTGCACATCCGGCGGAACTATAATGGAGCGTCATCGTATTTTCGCCTGGTCCCTCGGCCTACTCTGCCCGATTCGATGTAACTTTCTAGTCTTCTAAATTAAGAAAGAGATTTCATTAGACAATCCTTCGAGAACTCGATCGAATCTTGTCCGCTGTGAGTCGATTACGATAAACTTAGTGACAGGCCAGCAGACCTGTCACTAAGTTTATTCTGTAACTTTTAACGTTCTGTAACTTTTAAGTGTTATTATCGTTACGTTGCTGTTGCGCAGATATAATACATAGTAAGAAAACTGCACAACGACACGCGACGCTAGTGACATTAGGAAGTTACAGAATAGGACTGCAGATTGTTACTTCGTCACAACGATATCGATCTATGGATTCGTGAATCACGAGCTCCTACGGAAGATCAAACAAGATGCCAAGTAAAAACTGTGTGTCGCCAGTAGCGACGATATTTCATACACAGACTGTTTCAATGCACATTTATTTCATAGTTCCAAGCACCTAAAAATCCTTATAACATTTAAGTCCCTTTATACCCATTTGAGAACTTGCGACCGTATAGAATAAAAAGCAAGCTTTAATCGCGTGAAGTTACATATTGTATCTCTCCGAACCATTATCATCGTAATTGCAGATTAAACGATTTCCCTTAGTATTAATGAAACATATTTCGAATGTTCTTCTTGGCCGATTGTTCTAGTCTATCGATTTTTTCAAATAACTGGAAATCATTCTTGGGAGATTTTCACAGAGAAAGCGGAAGCGTTCGTGGTTTCGACAAAATCCGCGTGTACCGCTGTCGAGAACATAATTTACTACAGTGGCGTAACTTACGCGCAAATTAAACGCATAATTAGCGAGGAGCAAATAAAACTCAAGAAAGAGATTTGAAGTCATTGCTTTTCCTGGAGAAGTTAACTGGAATGTTTACGAAACAAAATCACGAGAGAAGCAGCACCAATACGGAAGTCAGATCGAGCAAAAAGAAATAAAATTCAAAAAAGAAATGTTTCTTTTTCGAAAAAAAAAAAAAAAAATATATATATATATATTTTAACATAACTAGTGATTAACCGAAGATTTTTAGCGCAAATTAGTTGAACCACATTACATTAGGATATCATTACGAAACGACTTACGCGGTAATCGAAGATGTCGCGACTTAGAACCGTATTAATATTTATTATTGCCTCACACAAACTCGCGTCCAAAGTGAGATACTTATATTTGAATTCAGGTGAAAGTTTTACAGATGAAAATTGCGATTGTGCAAACATAAATGTTACATCCCAGTAAACATCAAGTATCAGTAACATAACATCGATATTATATTATTAATACTTGGTACTTACTAAGATATATCACAATTCAATTTTTCTATATTTATTTACAGATATAAATGTTACATTGCAGTAAACACCAAGTATCAGTAACACAACATAGATGTTATGTTATTGATACTTGATGTTTACTAAAATATATCATAATTCAACTTTTCTACATTTATGTATATAAAAAATATATTATAATTTTTATTTATATTAAAAAATTTTTGGATCTAACACTGAATAAAAATCTGCGTATTTTACGTGAGACAAGTTTCAGATGATAACTATTAATATGCGTTTTAGGGATTTTTTCGGTTATTCTATTGCGTTTAGGTTATTCTATTTCTATTGCAATTGGTTTATTTACTCAATTATGGAAAAACGCAAATTTCAAGTTACGCCACTGATCGAGTAAGAAGCGGCAATCCATATTAATTTAAAATTCAATCGCAGCAACACTAACAAGAAATAATTTTCACCCCGACGCTTCCACGAAAACAATATGTTGTATTCATTTGATGATCTGTATAAGAGCGTACGTGAATCGCGATTAATCGCGATGGCATATATAGGCATACGAAGGATATGAAAAATACATCGTTGGAAAACATGCATCAGCATATGTGCATGTTGACGAAGTTCTCCTTGTTCTTGAAGATCGTTCCCCAAGCGCCGTATTTATCATCTTTCATCGGCGGTTGTTGCTGATAATATCGTGACTGTCGATTTTGCGATTCCTGTCGAGGTACTTCCTTGTCTTTCCTGCGTTAGAATAACGTTCTTCTTTTTATCAACAGCATCTACTTTATACGCACAAACAACCTTCCAATAACTAATTTGCGATTATTATCTTTAATTATTCTGATAAAAATGCATGCAGTTTGTGTAAACATCCGCTCAGTTATTATCTACTATTAATGCATCCTCCTACTATTAATATACCATTAATCATAGAAATAATACGTAACAACTGGACGAGAACTGGATCCAGTGATTAAAGCAGTTTATTATGCAATATACCGATTCTTACTCTATTGCAATACTATGCAATAAACCGATTCTTCACAAGTATCAGTAATACTAATTCAGTTCTATAGCATGTTACAATGTCTATGATGAATAAATGTAAAAAATATTTATTTATATTGTTAAAAAAGAACAGAATATATGCACATAATAAATGAACATGTAGAAAAGTATAAACCAAGAAAAGGAAAATTGGAAGAAGTAAAATATTTGACAATATTAAGCTTTGTGACATAGACGACAACTAAGTTAGGAATGAAAATGAACAGAAAACAAATATGTTAAGGCTCCTGTAGTGCGATTCTGTAACTCGTTATTGCAGTTAACGACAATTTCGTTATCATTGCGCAGCTTTTTCGTACTGTAGAAAAGCTGCGCAACGATAACGAAATTGTCGTTAATTGCAATAACGAGTTACAGAATCACACTACTGGGGAGTCGCATCATCCATCTCTTTTTAATGACGTCAGAAGCGAGAAAACGCATGCTAAAAATTCCTGCAAAATACGTCGAGATAAACAGATATATCCACAAAACGACATTTGCGATCGATTAAGTACACCTCTAAAATACTCCGTACACTTTCCTTTTGTTCTAAAAATCAATAGATAATCGGAAAATTAATATGACAAGATAATGAGGAAATTAGGTTAGAAAAGACGATTGCACGTCACATTTATTTTATAATTATCTGTTGATTGTTAGAACAAAAGGAAAGTGTACGGAGTATTTTAGAGGTGTACTTAATCGATCGCAAATGTCGTTTTGTGGATATATCTGTTTATCTCGACGTATTTTGCAGGAATTTTTAGCATGCGTTTTCTTGCTTCTGACGTCATTAAAAAGAGATGGATGATGCGACTCCCCAGGAGCCTTAATAATATAGAAATTCATTGCAATGAGAACACATTGAGCTATTTTAATACTAATGTTACAAATGAAAACTGTCATAATAGCTCAGAAAACTTGATAAAATAGTACAAGAATGGATAAAAGAATATGTGTCGTTTAATAGTTATTCTCGATATCATATAAAGGGGAAGATAACGATAACTTTGGCGACATATAATGAAAATATTTATTATAAAGTATTTTGGATGTAGGAAACAATAATGAAAA